GCAAGGTCTCTAGGTTGGACTTTTGAATCAGTCAAACAGTGGCACTCTATAGGTCATCCTAAGTCAAACCTCCACCTAGAGGGCAATTTAGTCATTTTGGTCCACATGAACAATGTCCCATCAATTACCCTAAGTGTAGTTAAGGTGTATTAGACCATAATTAACCACTCTACACAAGTGCTACACCAACTTCTAAGTATCACATGTGATGAAGCAACAAAACACTCAATTTTACTCTAATGTTGCAATTCCATGTTTCACATGTTTCATGACTTGGTTGTAATTTTAAACTTGTCATATTACTACCATGTTGCCATGTTTCAAGGTATGAGAAACTCATGTTGCATTCACATGTTTCACTACTACCATTCACAAGCAATCAAGTATGAAACGAACATAATTGAGAATGTTGCATATACATGTTTCAGTACAATGGCATGATGAGGTAGATGATGCACATGTTTATGAATGAAATGCAATTTTTGTGGGAGCCAAACACCTAGGGTGTTACAAAAGTGGAGCTTGGACAGGCACAATATAGTAGCAAGGAATAGCAATATTCGCAACTGAATAGCAAAGCTGAATAAGTATCCCGAGTACTTGTCTTAGTTGTTGGCCTATTAACGTTCAAGTACCAGATGTATCAAGTGATGGGAACAACATGAATATGATTAGGAACAAGGCAGAAATCAACACACGCAAACACAGCTCAAATGGCGCTCTCTATGCACTCCTCTAGATATTGCTCCTCTTTTGCCCCTCTCTTTTTTCTATTTTTTGGGTTGTCGTTGTTTTTTTGGAAAATTTCGAGTTTTTCTTTTTATTTTTTTGATATTTTTCTTTACTTAGGAGCACAAAAGAAGTAACAACAAAAAATATGAGCTTAAACAAGTGAAAGGCGTGGCCTGTGGAATTTTCAGAAAACGTGCTCAAAATCAACAAAAACCTTGTGACAACAAAAAGAGGATCTTGTGACCACTTTTTTACCAAAATAAAAATCTCTGACCCTACCAAGGCAGGGATGGACGGATCCGAAATTTTTTTCTGATCGATTTTGATATATGGAACATCGAAATCCGAGTTCATATACGAAAACTAGACCAGTTTTACGAACGGACTCCGAATTAGAGGACGAAACGGGAATAATGCGCGCAAAATTGATCGCGACAGCGAGGATTTGATGGAAACAGTGAAGACAAGTGGAACAAATTAGATGGCGTAGACTAGGGTTTGATGGATACAAAGGAAACACAACGAGACTTGAAGGTGTTCATGGATTATGATGAAAAACAAAGGGACAAACACAAACTGGACTCAAAAACGATCTAAAAGCAGCAACCAGAACTTGACCTAGGACACAAACTCAACAACGCAAAACAGAAAAAAAAATTGCACGGCACAACGAGGTTATAGGACAGGGAATATGTGGCGGTATATATTTTTTTGGCTTTTTGTGGACTATAGGTAATGCAAAAATAGTAACAATCTAAAGGGGAAAACAAAGTTATACCTAACGGGCAACAAGGTCTCTGATATCACTTGATATAGACAAGGCCCGATCTTCCGAAATGTATGATAGCGTCGATTGGTGGAGACTCGACGTTCACGATCTAGGCTTTGAACCAAGACTGATTCGGACCTCCGCAACCGTTACACCACTGCTCCGTTGGTTATCAACCACACGAACGCGATTGACCTCACCGAGAAGGCTTTCCTGCAAGCGAATCGAGAACACAAGCAAAAACGAGATGAACGCAATCTGAAATTGTAAATAAATATGAGGCTTATGAAAATAAGAAGGAGTTCAAGTCTTTATTCGAAAGGACTAATCGCCACAGGCGAACAAGATCAAGAACTGGGGCCCTGGTTCAAGCAAGCGGCCTTGGCGGCAACAGTTGCAGCAAAACGACGTCTGTTTCACGAGGAAATCAAGAACTAAACAAAACTTAAACCCTAAGTAGAGCGACAGCTGCTAATTATAGAGTCTTGGGCGTCACCCCCCTGGACGCGCCCCCTAATGGGCCCAAACACGATACACGGTCCAACAGACCAAAATATGGTGTCGCAGCACCCTGACAGATTCTGGACATTGACTTGTTTCAACAATTCCCGTTGATTCTGAAGGTCTTTTGATGTGAGACCACTTGAATTGGCTTCCTTATCAAATTAGCTTTCTAACCATATGTGGATCGTCGAAAACGGAGTCCGGATACGTCCTAGGTGACCAGTTTAAGGCCGACTGATTCTAGAGGCCGAGGCAGACTCGAACTTGAGTTGCTTTGGGCCTTCACCTCGGGGACTCGAACCGAATTAACCTCGGACCTCCTTCTTGACTTGGACACCCTTGCTGGCCTCCTACCCCTCCATACCATGCGCCAAACATGATCATATACATGGGTGTCATGTCCTCATCAACATCTAAGCTCGATGGGGCCATGATCAGATGCCGCCGAAGTGAGGTGGCGAACTGAGGCCATCGGGTATCGGGCACACCGTGCCGCGCATGCCAAGGCATGATCCAGCCTCACCCGAAAGTAAGAGCCCCCTGCAACTCCCTTCTTATAAGTCCATCGGCGTCCCTCAAAGCCTAGAACAACAAGGCCATAGAGGTCAAGCACATCCTGAAAACCTGCTATCCGGCTCCAGCTTCTTTCCTAAACTCCTTCATGCTCCGAGCGCAGAAGGACTTCATTAAAATCCCCAATGCACATCCAGAGCAGCGGCGACATCGGCCTGATGAACTTGAGCATATCCCACGTCTTATGACGTTCCGGCACCTGCGCTTCACCATAAACACAAGTCAAGCGCCACGGATCACCCCCACTCTCTGATATAATAGTATCTATATGGTACTAAGAGTATGGTAAAATTTCCACTCTAGTGTTGTTATTCCAAAAGATGCCAAGGCCTCCACTACACCATGAACTGCTTAGAGTGAAAGCATTATCAAACCCTAGAGTACTCTTGAGACCCTCCACCCGTGCTCGGTGGACTTGAGTTTCGAGGACACAAAGCACGGTAGGGGCAACCATCTTCGCCAAATCGCAAAGCTCCTTGACTGTCGCAGCGTTGTCCAAACTGCGACAGTTCCAGCTGAGGCAACTCATTGGTCCTGGCAGACCTCCAAACCGGAGGCCGCCGTAGCGTTGTTCTTCTCTTGCACTTCCTCAAGCTTTTTCATCTTCTTTTTGTCCCTGTCCCTGGGGCCTCGACACATGTTGAGAGATGGAGGCGGTTGGTCTGGTGAGCCGACTTGAGAGGGCTGCTGCTCTCCCAACCTGTGGCCTCAAACAGCTTCCTTTTCTCCCTCCAGCGCGGACACCGAGTGCCCATCCTTCTGCCCTCACAGGGGCCAGTCACCCCTGCTCCAACATCAAATCGCCGAACACCCCGGCAACATCAAATCGCTCTGTCCTCGTCCTCCTTAAATTCACCCGATCCACATTTGAGATGGACGTGACCCATCAAGCCACAATGGGCGCAATAGCACGGCATCTTCTCATACTTCACCTAGAGGTGCATAGGATCACACCCCTCGGGAGCCAGGGTAACAAATCAGAACAGAGATTTAGTCGCGTCTAAGTTCACCCTTGCCCTGTAAAAAATCTCCTCTCCCAATCGACACCACCTTCATCTCCACCGAGATCACTTCTCCCACCTTAATTTAATTATTATAATTAATTTCGTTATGGGTTTAGATTGAAGACGGCCCGAACGAAGCCCATCCCCTTCCCACCCGAGCCCGGAGTCCTTTCTCACGATCTCCGATCAAAGCATATCGACTCCGGTCATTTCTTGTAGGAACGGCGGCATCCACGCGCTGCATCCCCGCCCTGGCATCAACGCAAATCAAACCGAGGTGCCTTCCCCGCGCCGCATCCCTGCCCTGGCGCTGCGGCGGGCGGTGATGGTGGCGGCAGACGGGACGGACAGTGGCAGCTGTGGCGGCAGACGGGACATGATGGGCACCAACGGGCGACGACGGCACCACCTAGCGACCAAGGCCAGTCTGCTCGGCGTTCCTAGGACTTGAATTGATTCATCCAGCAGCCCGAGCTCAGCTACCTGCAAAGTTCCCCTTCCCTTCCTTGCTGCCCTTCTCCTCTTTGCAACCAATCCCTACGCTCTGGTCTGCCATGTGTGCGTGTGCTTAATTTCATCCTCTCCCTCTTCAATTCAATTCCCTTTGTGTTTTGATTAGCAAAAAAAGAAAATTTATTTCAGGTTTGAATTAACAAAGGAACAAAATTCCTTTCGCGTTTTGTCCCGGCCATCTCCTGAAATCTGGCCCTGTGCTGAATCTCTCCGTCCACTCCTCCCCTACTGGGCTGTTGTATTAGCCTTGTCGCATGTCAGCTTCTACAGTCCGGCCTTCACTGTTCCTGCTAGGCTGCTGCCATGGGCGGGGATGCGGCGCGGCAATGGCGAAGGTGCCCTTGGTCGCAGATGACTGGTGCCGCCGCCGTCCGCCGTCTCGGTGTTGGATGTTTTCTCCGTTCAAACGACGTGCGGCTCGCGCAGAAAACCGATCGGACTCACAAGCGAATGACGTGGACTTGGGTTCCTAGCACTGGGCTTGTTTGAACCTGGTAGGTCCGGCCCTAATCCAGACCCATGACAAAAATAAAAATTTTAATTAATTATTAGCTGCTTTAAGATTCGTGCAAAGTTTTTGGAGAGGACCACCGGAGCAGAACGCCTTTGTACAACGGCGACCGTAATTCCATTACGTATGTTGACAGATAACACTTCCAGAAAAGCTCTTGTACATGCGCACATAGGAGTACTTTCTTCAAATTCTATAAGATGGCAGCAAATTTATTTGAAATTGGTCGTCACCATCCTTAAAAGAGTTAAGCCACAAGCCGCACTACCAGAGTTTGTGAACATTACACACAATCCCTCGCCTCACAAACAGAAGCATTTATCTTTGGCAATAAGCGGTGGGGAGTCATGGACTGAGAAACATATCAGCTCAATATACTTCACGGCAGAAACTTTCATGCTTCAGCAGCCTTCTCTGAAGGACTGTCTTCACCCTTTTGCCCCATCTTCGCCTTCTTGGCTTCGTAGTCTTTCACAGCAGCTTTAATCGCATCCTCGGCAAGCATGCTGCAATGGAGCTTTACTGGTGGAAGGGACAAGTGCTTCGCAATGTCACTGGAAAACAGAGTAACAAACTCAGTTACAGTGGTGTTTGCTAAGGGATTCTGACAGTGCCCAGAAAAATCTCAACAAACAAGCCCTAACAGCTGCGAGGGTGCTAAAGTAAATGAAGGGATTCATCTTTTTTCAAAGGAAAGCAGAGAATAAGACCACAAGTCACGTCTTTCCTCTATAGTATAATAAGCACATGTACCATTTCCAATTACAGAAAGTCAAACATCAGAGGAGCAAATAATGATGCTGAATAAAAAGTACAGAACTAACACATCAGATAATCTGCCACCACCCCAAAGAACAAGGGAGAAAATTATAATGATTACCCCTGACAGCTGAAGAAAGATCATTTTATAGCAACTTACAGAACTCATCAAAACCGAATGTGACATTAAAAATACTAATCATGCTTAACCATGTACTGTTATATAATAATAATAAGGGTAAAGTATATTTTTCAACCTCCAACTTGCATTGAAGTTCGATTTTCAACCTTCAACTATGAAACCAGGTAACAACTGTCAAAACCGGACAAATTTGGTCCTCGGCCGGTTTCAAAAGCGGTTTTCTATTTTCTAATAATAATAAAAATACGATTCGATCTCTAGAAGTTCATAGTTAATTTATTTTAAATTATAAAAATATGAAACTAGTTCTTGTTTTCTTCTAAAAATGTTATACATATGTTGATGCTATATTTAAAATTGTTTAGATCTTACTTGTTTTAAATAAATAATAAGCATGACAACGAGCAATAAAGCAATAGGAACATTTAAGAAAAAAGGTACTAGTTTTATCTAAAATAAATGCTGGTGGGGGATAGCAATGCTACTGTATACTCTCTATGTCCCCAAATAAATTAATTCATACATTTCGTGCCAGTCAAACTTTTTTAAGTTTGACTACTTTATAGAAAAGAGTAACAACATCTATGGCATAAAATAAGCACGTTATGAAAATATATTATGTAGTACATCTAATAATACTAGTTTGATATCATAAATCTTGATATTTTTTTCTACAAATTCGGTCAAAGTTTAAAAGTTTGACTTAAGACAACTCTAGAAATCTATTTATTCAGGGACGGAGGAAGTACAATAATACAGGGCTTGGCACTCGTGGCTCGCCTCTCGAGTTGTTTTCGGCCAAAAGCAAGGCTTGGCACCCCGTGTGCGTGGAGACGAAGGCAGGGAACTGTCATGTAACAGAATAGAAAGCGTACATTTTAATTCCACGTGAAATTAAATTCTATGCAAAATTTAAAACAATTTTTAATATAGCATCAACATATATATATACCATTTTTAGAACAAAACATGAACTAGTTTCATATTTTTATAATTTAAAATAAATTAATTACAAACTTCTAGAGATTGAACCAAATTTTATTATTATTAGAAAATAGAAAATCACTCTTGAAATCAGTCGAGAACCAAATTTGCCTGGTTTTGAAAGTTCGATGGTGTCTGTTACCCGGTTTCATAGCTGAAGGTTGAAAATCAAACTTCAATGCGAGTTGGAGGTTGAAAAATATACTTTACCCTAATAATAAAATATAATCAAAGTATCAAATGGCCATGCTCGGAGAGAGATGCACATATAAGAACCAGGAGTGAAGTCTTCTCAGATACAAACCCCCAACATTCTCACAATGGTATTCACATTATAGAGAGCAGAACGACGTTGTAAAGGAACCCAAAAGCAGCAAGTGTGTGAGTTTGTTAAAGATGTAACATAGACAACAATTCATTTTTACAAAATACAATATCAGCATGTTCAGATGATTAATAAAGTGGATAATATTAAGCAAGCCGAAAATATTGGAAGATGATGGATAACTTACGTGTTCTTGATTGTCAAAACTTCATCCATTGGTTTTCCCTTCACCCATTCAGTAGCTGCAAGGAGAAAGATAATATAATCAACGTTAAACATTCAGCAGCTGTAAGAAAATTTAGAGAAAAGGTATCATAAAATTTAGATAAAACTAGGAGCAGACAATTAAGCACTCAAAGAAACAGTACTTAGGGCATTCTGTTTAATTAGGGATAAAGAGCTTCATGGGATCACGAATCAGGAATGAGGCTTGTAAGGTACAAGCAACCAGAGGGTCCACTCTTTTATGCAAGACCAGATGATACTTAGCACTCATTTAATATAAAAGTAATAAAATATTCTATAACAAACAAATTTAGGGGAAAACCTCACATCCCACATTCAAGATTATATTCCAGTCATTTAGGACTAATATAAATAAATTGAAGTTTCAACTGGCAACTTTGTTACCATGGTTGTTGGCTTACAAGTAACACAGTACAACAGAATGTCCACATTTTGTGATTCATAGCATTTTCATGCATAACAATGCAGTAGGTTAGGTATTATATGCGTCACATTATCAAACCAATGACTTGAAAGTTGCCCCAATCATTCTGTTGACTATTTCATTATTTGCAGGAGTATCATCCTAGACATATTTCCGTAAGCAATCTCCCATTACTAAGTAAGTAAGAACATCAAAACTAAAGCACAATGTCCATCATCTCTGAACCAATTTGGTTCAGCAACTAAAAATTATAAAAACTACAAGTATCTGAATCTACCAACAGAAATAAGAAATTTTCTAACTACAATGTTATCATTTTTATTAATATTAAGATGTAACTCTAGACCCTTCAGGGTCATTCTCCTTAATAAAAAAATCATAATTAAAAAGAGCTTAAGCTGCACAATTACAATCCAAAAAAAACATGGAAGAACAAGCATCATGACATAACACTCGGCATACACTTATTAGATCTAAAACAACAAAATTGATATAAAAATTTCAGTTCGGGATTAATCATAGAATGAGTATGCAACTGCAACTCATACAAAACTACATTGTCATACAACTTATCTGTAGCTAAAATGGTTGCATCAGACATGTCTAAAATTCAACACAATTAGCCAATTAGGTCCAAAGCACAAAAAATAAAATGGTCACATCACACATGTCTAAAATTCAACACAACTAGCCAATTAGGTCCAAAGCACCAAAAATAGGCAAATTGAAACCAGGGCTTCAATGATCCTACAGCAATAGAGATGAAAAATTAGCCATGCAGTTGAAACCATCAAATCAAACTGATCATTTATAGCAAATTGTACCTCACATAGTCCCCAATAAAACGGCACATATAAGAAACACAATACTAACCTAGCTGCAATTCATCTTTCTCTGCTATGACCTTCAACAATCAGAATAAAGACATCGAGATAACTAGATAACCAATTAGTGATGTTACTCAATTCACAAGCTCCAATTCATCTTTCTCTGCAAATGACCTCCACAATCGGAATAAAGGCATCGGGATAACTAGATAACCAATTAGTGACGTAACTCAATTCACAGAAAAAAGGAGGATTGAGCCTACACGCTACACCCGAACAACCTAGGGGAAATTGACGGGAACTCCAGACATGGCGCTAGGGCTGAGGGGCCTCACCGACGGACAAGGACACGATGGCGGAGCCCGCCCAAGGTCTCATTTCACAACTCCTCGCCCTATCGCCTCAAAAATCACAGGGGTTGATGCCAAAGTAATTTTAAAAGCGTCGAGGGGCTCATTTCGCAACTCCTCGCCCCATCGCCTCAATCGCCTCCAAAAAAAATACAGGGGTTTTTAAAAGCGCCAAGGGGCTCATTTTGCAACTCCTCGCCCCTCGACACAAAAAAGTACGAGGGTGAAAGGTCCCAATATGGCTAGAGGGGGGGTGAATAGCCTATTTAAAAATCTAAAATCAACTAGTATTAGTATGACAAATAGCGTAATGTAAACTTGCTCTAGCTCTACAAGGGTTTTCTAGTTGCAAAATACTTAGCACACAAACTAGCTATGTAATTACTCAGGGCTCTCATTTCGCTCTAACTCCTAGATGAATGTAAATAATAAAGCAAGCTCTCAATTCTAATTACACTAAAGCCAACTCAAAATATAAATGTTACCGAGGTTGGTGCCAAACAAGCAATTATAAATCAGCGCCAGAATGACAAAGAAGGCTCATTTTCTCCCGAGGTTCAACTCCGCTCGCCCCCATTGTGTCGACAACAAAAAGGTGTTTCACAAACCTCGGGGTCACAAGTGAGGTAACTCAATGACAAAATTTACTAATTACTAAAAAGCGCTTCCCTCACAATCACCGAGGGTCTATCTTCGATCCTTCACCGCTCTCCAACACCCATGGTGGCCCACCATAAAAGACAATTGGAAAAGACACTAAAGCAATCATACCAACATCAAAGCACCAGATCCCATCAGGGCACTCTCTCCAATAATTCCTTCATTCGTTGTCATTTTTGCCACCCATTTCACTATCGAAAGTTCGATAACCCACTATTCAAGACTTTGGTTGAGTTATGGCGAGGGGCTTCGACACCAACTTTGACATCATTGACAACGCTTTCATCAACATTTCCATTTCAACTCTAACTTCTTCACCCTTGCTCAAATGTGCCACCACTAAGAATTTTGGAGGCTTTGCCATTGACTTCAACTTCATCGATAATGTGTTCAAGTCAACATCTCCTAAAATGCAAGGAGACTCCAACTTTGACATCATTGGCTATCCTAAATGTGATCACACTCACTAAGTCAACATTTCAACAAAATGGGACTTGCCATTAGCTTTCACCATGCCCATTGTCAATCGACTTCATCACTTGGAGTAGTGCTACCTATCTTAATCATCACCTAGGTTTAGAGTAGGGGGTCACCAATTAACCAAAACCAAACTAGAGCTTTGGAGCGGAGGGATCAACGTCGACATCTTTTGATTCCCCCATCCAATCATCAATTTGGAGCAGAGGGATCACCATCAACATTTTTGGCTTTGCTTTGCCATCAATTGGGGCGCATGGATCTCCATCTATGACATATTTGACATCAACCATGCCTCCATTGTTTACTTCAAGCATGCAAAAGAATTTCTCACAAGCGCCAGCTAATGGGGGGTGGCGAGAAATGCATTGGATAAACAATCCACTTGAATACGAAAGCTTGAAGACGTGTCATGATTATCTATGATTAATGGGGGTGGCGAGAAATGCATTGGATAAACAATCCACTTGAATACGAAAGCTTGAAGACATGTCATGATTATCTCGATTATCACGCCGCTTGACATCAACTACTTCGCCTACGTCAACTACCTCACCTACTTCGACTATGGCAATTTGACGAAGGCTCAATTATGAAAAGAAGGCATCGAGAGCTCAAGGTCGTACGAAGGAGCAAGCTACCAAAGACATGGCCATGGAGGTTCAAGCAAAGGTTGCCACTGAAAACTAGTCGAAGATAAAAAAAAATCAACCCTACCTATCTCTGTATAAACGAGAGTCTTGTGATGAGTCTGAGTTGTAACTGGGCTACACTTAAATGTATCTAGCTATTGGGTTTTATGCTTCTGAGCAAAACCAAGTAGTTGAGGGGCTATTGTTGGGTGTGTGTTGTATGTTAGGGACCCTATGTTTAGGGCCCAATTACATAGTTTAGTGGCTATGTGGGATAATATTTATGGCCCATTTGTGGCCCCTAAAGGCTTTTTGTAAGGGTTTTTTTTTGGATTGGTACCATTATAATTTTCATACTTCGGAGAAGTACCATTACAATTCGTCTATTTCAAAGCATACCATTATAACTTCGTGTTTCTCGGATGAACGCCATGGGATACGCTCGGCAACGTCTTGGGACCAGCTGCAGGCGTATACGCTGGCTCCGTATTTCTGTATGGACGCACATGCCCTTGGGTCAATTGGATAAGTCCCACAACGCAGCTCACTCTCTTCCTCATCTCACTCACACCCGGTCCCAAACCCTAACCTCGACGAGGGCGACCAGGTCGGCGGTGACTCCAACTTCGGTGGCCAACTTTGAGAGGCATAGACAGCGGTGACCACAAGAACCCAGCCGTGGCGATGCACCCCATTGACCGCAATGGGTGATTCGTAGGCGCATGTCCTGGTGGAAATGGCCAACGACGACGGTGGGTATGGATCTTGTACCTTCCTGTGCTTCACATTGTCGCATATGAGCTCGCCGCCATTAGTTTTGCTTGGGATACATACTGTATTGTTGGTGTTTGATTGGATTTGGGGATTTCTTGCTAGGTTTCGTTGTTCTCGCTAGAGCTTAAAGTTGAAGGATTCTGTACTAGAGACAGTACTGGTAGAAAAGCATACACAAAGGGACGCGTGATTAAGTGGGATGTTGAAGTAGGTTCATTTTCCTTCGATTTGCTGTTGACAAGCCCGCAAATGAGTTTCAATGGTCGAGTAGCCAGTCTCCTAGAGTATGGTTCTTTGACAAAAGGATCTCTGAAGATGTCAGACTAGAAAATGATTTCCAGATGCATGGCTTGTTTGAAATGTATAAGGATCAGATGCACTGCGAAGTCATTGTAGGGGTGTTTGACATTTGTCTTCGAGAGGCTGATGAGTTTGCTGCTTTAGAACCAATTTGTGTGATTCCACCAGACTTGCCAACAGGGAATGGGGATTCCATTAGCCCTGATGACAACCATTTAGCCTAGCCAATGATAATCCTCCTAGAGATGCAGAATATCCATTAGAGCCTGAACTTGAGCCTAACATGTTTGACAATGACGAGGAGTATGTTGGTGTTGATGATGAGGGATTGTATATGCCTGTACCATCTGCATAGGCAGCTAACAATGTCATTTTTTTTTAATTTTAACCCTTTTTTAGAATATAATTTTAAATCTAACACTGTCGGATTTTTTTTAAACTAACACTTTTGGTCGCGCCTATTGCCCTGGCGCGGCCAAATGTCTGTGCCGCGCCATGCATGGTGGCACACGGGAAAGGCTAACGTGATTTATGACCGAGGGCGCCGACCGCGCGGCCATCGACGCTTAGCTAACGCTGCCATAGTGCTCATGCATCTCACCGGCAAAGACCGAAGTCTCGTATGCGATGTCTGCCTCGTTCTTCCTTGCATGTCCTGACCAAGTCCATCGAGAGAGGACTGCATGCTACCGTTTTTGCTGCTTGTGTTTCCGAGGATGGGAATAAAAAAATGCGTGTTTCATTAGAGCACCATCGTGCGGTCTGAGCACACATCCATCAATCAGCTGCGTGCTGCCGTTTCTGCTGCTGTGTTTCCGAGGATGGGAATAAAAAAAATTGCGTGTTTCATTACCGCACCATCGTGCGGTCAGTCACACAGAATCGGGAGATCAATCATGATTGCGTGTTTCAGCCGGTTTCCAACGTCTTGGAATCGGTGTGACTTGTTTCACGAAATAGAGTATACCTATGGCTAGTTGCTAGCTGTACTGGCCGTGCACAGCAGTATGATGTAGTCAAAGCTTTGTTAGTGAGCCGTGACTATATATGATTTAAAATTAGAGCAAGTTTTGAAATAAAAAAATATTAGAGCAAGGTTTGATGAATGCAAATTCAGATCTAAACATTGACTAATATATAAAAATCATTAATATTTATGGTAAATAATAAGTATTATTAGACTAATTATTAAATATGTAATAAACTTAAAATTTTAACTAACCCAAAGTGGACACTTATTTCTGGACAGAGAGCGGCTGATAGACGGGACATATGCATACTGTATCTGAAGTTGGTCACGAGGAAAGGAAGTGAACAGAAAAGAGAAGAGACTGGACATGCGCACACGCAAGTGAAGCAGCCTGCTGGACTGTGCTACTTGTAGCTGTTTGTGCTGCGCTATTCATCACAGCCTATGGGATAGGGGTGTTTGTTCCTACTCTTAAACTTTAGTCGCCACATCAGCCCGCTGCCGCGCCACCATGCATGGCGCGGCACAGGCATTTGGCCGCGCCAGGACAATAGGCGCGGCAAAAAATGTTAGTTTTAAAAAAAACCGACAGTGTTAGATTTAAAATTATATTAAAAAAAGGGTTAAAATTAAAAAAATCAACAATGCAGACCCAACTAACAACCATACTGCCTCTGCTAATGTTGATGATTCTGTTGATGACGCTGATGATTTTGATGGGGTTGCTGATGCTGAAGGAGGTGTTCCTCTTGAGGCAAAGGTAAATGATGCAGATCCATATGAGATATATGTTATCCATGATCCAAAAGACCCCAAGATAAAGAAGGGAGAAAGGTTTCCTAACATTGTTGCCTTCGGGAAGGCAGTGAGACATCATGCAGTTGTAACAGGTTTTGAGTTTGATAAAGTCATTACAGACAAGACTAGATTCATTGCCAAGTGTAAAGCTTAGAGTTGTCCTTGGCGCATCCATGCTTCAAGATTTTTTTATGGCAAGACAATAGAGATGAAATTGCAATTTTTATCCTTTTGACATCATTTACTTACCTACAGTCTCATGTTCTCCTACTAACATTACTATGATTGTGTGTGTGCAGATCAAAGTACTACCTGCAAAGCATAATTGTCCTACTACTAAACTCAGAGAGGGCAAAATGGCAAGTCAAGGCTAGTGTGGAGATATGTTAGGGGATTGGTTGAAGAGGAATCCAACTAAAGGTCCAAAGGAATGTAAGGAGAAATTAGAGGGTGACTATGGTATCAAGCTCAAGTACTCCAAAGCTTGGTCTGACATGAAGGTAGCACTAGAGCTGATCCATGGAAAGTATGACGAGAGTTTTCAGCTTCTTTTTAATTGGGCAGCTCAGATTGAGAAGTCATCACCTGGCAGCCTAGTACAGATAGAGTTAGAGAAGGTTGAGAAGAAGCAAAGGTTCAGGAGGATTTTTGTAGCTCTTAAGCCTTGTGTTGATGGGTTCCTAGATGGATGTAGACCCTTTATATGTGTTGATGCTTCCTGTTTGTATGGCAAGTACAGAGGACAGTTGGCATCTGCAACTGGTGTAAATGGGCACAATTGGCTGTATCATATTGCATATGGAATTTTTGACATTGAGAATGAGGACAACTGGAAATGGTTCATGGAGCAACTGCACAGAGCCATTGGAGATGTTCCAAACCTGGTTATTTGTACAGATGCTAGTAAAGGTTTAGAGAAGGCAGTAGGAGTTGTATTCCCAAATACTAAATATAGAGAATGCATGAGACACCTGTACCAGAATTTCATGAAGCACTACATAGGTGATGTTTTCACTGATCACCTGTATCCAGCAGCTAGGAGCTACACAACTGGACTGTTCCAATGGCATACGAAGAAAATATTTGAGTTTGCACCTGCACAATTGAGTATCTTGAGAACCACTATAGTAGGATATGGTACAGGTGTGCTTTTTTTGAAAACAACAAGTGTGATTACTTGACTAATAATGTGTCAGAGAGTTTCAATGCACAAGTGAAGAAGTTCAAGGGTCTGTTGTTGCATGAACTAGTGGACAAGCTGAGGGAGTTGATAATGGAGAAGAGGTACTTGAGGAAGAGACTGGATAGGCAGTGGCATGATAGGATTCTCCCGACTTTTCTTAAGGAACTTAATGTGATTAGCAAGCAGCTCAAGGTCATCAAAGTGACTTTCAGTGATGATGATATTGTTGAAGTTACCCTTTTGGACCAATGGAACAACTAGACATGGCATACAGTAGACCTGCAAAATCACAAATGTTCTTGCAGGGAATGGCAAGTCACTGGGAAGCCTTGCAGACATGCTTTGGCCTGGATATTGTCCAATAGGGGGATTAAAATAGAAGATTATGTCCATAAATACTACTCAGTGGCTACATTCAAGAAAGCTTATGAGGCAAGAGTTAAACCTATATCTAATAGGTCCCAATGGCCTGAAGTGAATCTTGGGTTCAAAGTGCACCCACCATTATTGGGTAGAGGACCAAGGAGGCCAAAGGTGCAAAGGATTAGTGGCTGCATGGAAAAAAATGCTACCAAGAAAAAGGTGAGATGCAAAAGATGTGGTGAACATGGCCACTTTGCAAAAACTTACAAAGATCCAGAGGTTGGTGAAGATGGTGAAAGAGGTCCATGCATGAACAAAAGGTGAGAATTTCTACTAACTGCTATTAACCTGAACCTTCAACCAACTGATATCCACTAACTGGTATTTTACAACCATGCTTGCAGAAAGAAGACCACAGAAGATGATGCTGGTCCCTCACAGGTGAAGAAACAAAAGAAAAAGAAGAAGACTACAACAACTAAGAAGAAGACACATGTGAAGAAGAAGCTGAAAAAGGTACAGGAAAACCCACCTCTCACTGTTGTGACCGACATCAAAAAGCTTATCTTTGAAGATCAGTCTACTTGACAGTTCTGTTGTAATGGTCTCTGATGCTTTTGGGCAAAAATAATTGTAATGTTATCTGATGTTTTTGGGCACATGAACTTGTAAGGGTAGTCTCTGCTACAGATGGCCTCAAAACACTATGTAGTGAATGCTGATTGCATGGGTAATATTTCTGTGAGATGCAATAGACTGATGGCATCTAAACAGTATGTAATATTTCTGTGAACTGGTTTATCATGACCTAGGTACTACTATGTTAAGTTATGCAATATTTATGTGAAATGTTCCTGTGAATTTTCACTTCATTGCTTCCTGTCAATTTCCTATGAATTTTCTGTGAAATATTTCTGTGAATTTCCTGTGGAATATTTCTGTGAATTTTGAGAGAAATATTTCTGTGAAATGCTAAGTATGGACAAACATGCTACTGAAACTTATTCATATATTGCAAAGGATAATAGCTCCAACTACAGACCAAATGCTACTCATCATTTATCACATCAGAGTGCACAAAACGCTAACCAAAATCTAAGCTACTAGTACCTAACACAGCTACATTACATGAATGTTCATTTCCTCCACACAATTGCCACTAGGACAGCAACAAAGATTGACAAGAACACAGAAGCAGTTGCATTGTCGAAGACAATTGGATTCTTTCCCTTTTTTTAAGCTACTAATGGTAATGGTAATGGTAAAGCTAACCAAAATCTAAGCTACTAGTATGCTTCGAAATAGACAAATGGTAATGGTACTTCTCCAAAAACCCCGTTCGTTTGTCTGGGAAAAAAAGACAAAACACTGTAGCGGTTGGTAATTGTGAGAGAGAAATACTGTAGCGGCTGGTTGATGAACAATGTTTTTTGATGAGGAGTAGCCGGCTGATCCGAAAAACCAGACCAGCGAACGCAGCCAAAGTCTAAAAATTATAATGGTACCAATTCAAAAAACTCTTTTTTTAAATACAAGACCCACTAAAAGGAATAATGAAAACCTCCTCTCTCCTCTCCTATAAAAGGGGAGAAGGAGAAGGTGGAAAAGGACTCTAGCCCTTCACTCATTATTTATTAGATATGGTGTCAATGCACCGGAACCAAACTGTTGAATTTGGACACACCAATATTTATCTGAAAGATTCGTTTTATAATAAGAAAAATAATGATTTGAGGGATTGAAGAAGTGACTTAAAATTTATAAATTTTTGGAAAAAAAAGAATTCAGAGATATATAAAAGAAAAAAAGCTCGCTTGATGAGTGAACGGTCAGATTGCATCTATTTGAGATAAACGGCCGGATTTTGCTAAGCGTAGCAAATGCAAATCACGCAAACACAAAAACCCAATCCGAAACAGCCCCTCCCGTCTTATCCCAAACACAACGCTCTGCTCCCCCATCCGAAGCAGAGCAGCGAGCATGTCGCCGGTCACCGCGCTCCTGGCGGGCACGGCCGTGCCGCCGGCCCCGTACCCGTCCCCGGCGCCGGCGAGGCAGCACGCCCGCCACTACTCCGTCGGCTCCCCCTCGCTCCCCAGCGGCGGCGGGCGCGCGGCGCTGGCGGTGGAGTGCTCGTCGCGGCCGCAGAAGAAGGGGACCAAGCACCACATGAAGACGCGGCCCAAGAAGACGCAGCCGTGGGACATCAAGCGCCGCCCCACGCAGTACCCGCCGCTGCCGCCGCTCCCGCCCGACTGGACGCTCGTCGCGTCCGGCGCCACGGTCGACGTGGAGGAGGCCACCGCCGCGACCCCCGTCCTCGAGGTGGCCGAGGCCGTCGCCGCACCCGCCGCCGCCGACTGAGGCCGCCGCGGCATGTCGCTGAAGTTGTTCCCTGCTTGAGCTCTCCGCGTATGCTGTTTCCTTTTTAAGATTTATTATAATGGCTGCCCTGATTTTGTGATTATAAATTTGGAATCTTTTATTTATGCTAGTCCAATGGCTGTCACTGCGTCCAATTCAGTCCATTGCTTGATGATTTCTTGGTTGCTTGCTGTGTGCAACGCTGATTCAGCTAGTCCATGCCGCCAGTGGCAGTGTAGACTGTAGAGTTGTTAGCTACTCCATGTCCATAGGCTGCTCGCTGATTCAATTACATATATGGCGTTGCTCTGTTAAGTTATGATGGGGAATGGATTGCCCAAATATAAATTTCACAAAAAAGAACAAACAGCCCAACAGGACATCTCCCAGGAGTTACTGAACTTGTATCTTGTTTGACCTTAGGAGCTCGCTCTGTTTGATTTGGGCAGTTGCCTGACATTGGGGGAGATTCAGTAAACAGTAAACTCAGCCATTATAGTAATTTTAGGAAGTAGTTTGGTTACCATAGGACTCAGGGTAGTTTCTGACCTAATTGTTTGTATTGTTACCTTAATTCAAGTGCTGTGGAAAGGACTTCCCCACGGAGGCAAATTCTTAAGGACCCGGCCCTTCCTTCATCCTGTAGGACCTCGCTCTCTATGGAGAAGATGGCCACACGACATGGCCTTCCCGTGATGTGGCGAGTTTCCGGCAAGGGTTAGACAACGACCATTAGCAGCGTGCGAAGTCTTGAGACGGTGGTGGGTTTCTCCATCGGCCTCTCCTCACCGGCGGCGACGGCAATGGCAGTACCTGGCCCGGGCGAACTTGTGGCATCGATGGTTCCTTCGTTACGCAGCTAGGGCATGGAATACTGGATTTATCATACAGAAGGGCAATAGAAACGGCGGTCTTGAGGATGATTGATGATATATATTAAGAAACTCGTCAAGGTTGACTTGTCAAGTATTTTTCTGATGGCTTTCTTTTATTTTTCTTTCACGTGTGAACGCTGTCGCCGCTGGCTCCATCCCCATCCATCTCCGGTGGGTTTCTTCCTCTTTTAGCTTCCTTGCTCCTCGTGAGTCTCTGCTTTGCCCACTCCATCCCCCGTCTTCTCATCGCTGCTGTGCTTCATTGGCCGGTGCGTTCTGGGTGCCACCAAGCGAGAACGTTTCCGAGTACGTGGCCTCCATGAAGCGCAGCATCGTTAGCCAAGCCATGCCAACAGCTAGCACAGGTCAGCAGCCGCTTTCTTTCTAGAGAAATCGAGAGTGCTGGAGGAGAGAGGAGGCTATGAACAACAGACTTTGCTGATTTCTTGTGGGCTGTTGCGATGGCCAGTTTATTAGAGTTAGCCGTTACACCGTTTTGCGACCAGACCAGGGTTGTTTTATTATTCACTAGTGTAGGGATTGGTAGCACGCATGTGTACTTCATGAATCTCGCACGTTTATTCATTTGATTGATTTGAAGGAAATTTTGGATTCTTACGTCTATATATAGTTCTGTATACATTGGTCCTCTACTCCTCCACGAGTTCTTCACCTCGACCTTACGTCTGACTGTCTCAGTACTTATATACGCGCAACGTCTGCTGCTCACGTACACAGCAACGGCATACATATTGAACTGGTTTGTTCACCTGTTGGCTGTTGCCCCATCTGGACTTCAGCTCGACGATGAGCGGCTGCTCATACGCCGTGAGGTTACCACCGCGCACGCGGCACGTACGCCGGGGCGGAGGCCACCTGAGACACTGCCGCCGGCAGCTCTTCCCCCTGCGCTTCAGAATTCAGATTTCAGACCTACACACGATGCAGGGTATTGTTCACCATTGATAACCAAGGTAGTAGTGGCGCGTGCATGCGTACCCGGTACCCGACGGGTCGGTCTAGGTTGCTGCACCCGCCGTCGCCATTGAGGGCGCCAGGGCGCGCCGTGTCGCCGCGAAGCACTTCCACGAGCTATTCGTCAACCTATATTGCTGTCCCTGCTCTACCAAGGCCAGTAGTGACATGGCATCACAAACATCATCATGCGGTGCAACGCTGGTAGGAGTACAGTACGTTATGCGACCAAACCGGTGCACCGGGCATGTCTGTCCTCATCGCGATATGCATTTCCCATCTCAGTATTCCTAAAATCCCAGCCGCAAGCGAAGTTAAGATTACACCACCAATCACCAATGGCATTCCGTACCATAAACAAATTTGACTACAATATTTAAAAATACAGCCTGTTCGCTTATTGGTTTAAGCCAGCCCAAATCAGCCAGCCAACAGTATTTTTCTCTCACAAAAAATCAACACCCAACACCAACCAGCTAACAGGTGGATAGCCTTTGTGCAACGGCGACCGTATTTCCATTACGTATGTTGACAGATAACAACACTTCCAGAAAACAGCTCTTGTACATGCACATAGGAGTACTTTCGTCTAATTCTAAGATGGCAGCAAATTTATTTGAAATTGGTCGTCACCATCCTTAAAAGAGTCAAGGCACAAGCCGCACTACCAGAGTTTGTGAACATTACACACAATCCCTCGCCCCACAAACAGAAGCATTTATCTTTGGCAATAAGCGGTGGGGAGTCATGGACTGAGAAACATATCAGCTCAAAATACTTCACGGCAGAAACTTTCATGCTTCAGCAGCCTTCTCTGAAGGACTGTCTTCACCCTTTTGCCCCATCTTTGCCTTCTTGGCTTCGTAGTCTTTCACGGCAGCTTTGATCGCATCCTCGGCAAGCATGCTGCAATGGAGCTTTACTGGTGGAAGGGACAAGTGCTTTGCAATCTCACTGGAAAACAGAGTAAGAAAACCAGTTACAGTGGAGTTTGCTAAGGGATTCTCATAGTGCCCAGAAAAATCTCAACAACCAAACCCTAACAACAGCAGCAAGGGCGTGAAAGTAAATGAAGGAATTCATCCTTTTCTAAAGAAAGAAGAGAATAAGAGCATAAGTCACATCCTCCAAAGGAATAAGCACATGTACCATTTCTGATTAATGAAAGTCAAACAACATCAGAGGAGCAATAATGTCGCTGAATAGGAACTGTAGAAACTAACACATCAGATAATCTGCCAGCCACTCCCAGGAACAAGGGAGAAAATCAAAATGATTATCCCTGACAGCTCGAAAGATCATTTCATTGCAACTCAAAGAATCCATCAAAACAGAATTTGACATCATTAAAAAATCCTAATCATGCTTAACCAGGTACTTGGTTATATAATAAAAAATAAAATCAAAGTATCGAATGGTCATCAAAGAGAGATAAGCATATAACAACCAGTGAAGTCTTCTCAGGTACAAACTCCCAACATTCTCACACTGGTATTCACATATAAAGAACAGAACGATGTTGCAAAGGAACCCAAAAGCAGCAAGTGTGTTGAGTTTGTTAAAGATGCAAACATAGACAACAGTTCATATTTACAAAAATACAATATCAGCATGTTCAGATGATTAATAAAGTGGATAATATTAAGAAAGCCGAAAATATTGAAGATAATAGATAACTTACATGTTCTTGATTGTCAAAACTTCATCCATTGGTTTTCCCTTCACCCATTCAGTAGCTGCAAGGAGAAAGATAAATATAATCAACGTTACACATTCAACAGCTTAAAGAAACAGCACTTAGAGCATTTTGTTTAATTAGGGATGAAGATCTTCGCGGAATCAGGAATGCTTCCGGCTTGTAAGATACAAGCAACCAGCGGGTCCACTCTTGTATGCAAGACACGATGATACTTAGCACTCATTTAATATAATAGTAATAAAATGATCTATAACACAGACAAATTTAGGGGAAAAACCTCACATTCCACATTCAAGATTATATTCCAGTCATTTAGGACTAAATAAATTGAAGTTCCAACTGGCAACTTGGTTCCCATGGTTGTTGGCTTACAAGTCACACAGTACAACAGAATGTCTCCATTTTGTGATTCATAGCATTTTCATGCATAACAATGCAGGAGGTTAGGTATTATATGCATTGTATCATCAAACCAATGACTTGAAAGTTGCCTCAATCATTCTGTTGACTATTTCATTATTTGCAGGAGTGTCTTCCTAGACATTTCCATAAGTACTCTACCATTACTAAGTTAGTAAGAACATCAAAACTAAGGCACAATGTCCATTATCTCTGAACCAATTTGGTTCAGCTACTAAAAATTATAAAAAAACTACAAGCATCTGAATCTACTGATAGAAATAAGAACTTTTCTAACTACAAGGTTCTCATTTTTATTAATATTAACGTGCTGTTTGGTTGCATCTGAGGTAACAGAAACAAAAATGAAACAAAGCTATTTTCATTACCAGTGGGAGACAAGTTTGCGTTACTATGCAAGGAACCAAACAGCACGTAAGATGTAACTTCTAGACCTTTCAGGGTCATTCTCCTTAATAAAAATAATAATAATAATAAAGAGCATAAGCTGGACAATTACTGTTAGAGGCGTGTGATCACCGCATGAGACGCGGGCTGGAGAAGACCAGCCATGCGGTGGAGCACCCTCACCGTGCGAGACTGGGAAAAGGAAGACCGTGCATGGCCTAAATTTAGGAGAAGACCAGGCATGCAGTGGAGCGCCCTCACCGCACGAGACTGGGCAAAGGAAGACCGTGCATGGCCTAAATTTAGGAGAAGACCAGGCATGCGGTGGAGCGCCCTCACTGCACGAGACTGGGCAAGGGAAGACCGTGCATTGCCTAAATTTAGAAGACCAGGCATGCGGTGGAGCGCCCTTACTGCACGAGACTGGGCAAGGGAAGACCGTGCATGCGGCTGCATGGCAGGGCTAACCACGGCCTAAATTTAGGAGTAGAGAGCCTATTTAATCTCTGTAATAAACTCGGATAGAGACAAGCAAGAATTGGAAGGAAAAGCCTTCTCTCTTGCTTGGCCGTGGGCAAGGCCAAAAACAAGGAAGAACCAGCATCACAACACAAAACTCAGCATACACATTTTATTTAGCTCTAAAACAGGAAAACTGATATAAAAAAATTAGTTCAGGATTAACCATACGATAAGCATGAAACTGCAACTCATATGAAACTTCTTTGTCATACAACTTATCTGTAGCTAAAATAGTCGCATCACACATGTCTAACATTCAACACAACTTGCCAATTAGGTCCAAAGCACCAAAAATAAAATGGCCGCATCACACATGTCTAAAATTCAACAAAACTAGCCAATTAGGTCCAAAGCACCAAAAGTAGGCAAAATTGAAACGAGGGTGTCAATGATCCTACAGCAATACAGCTGAAAATTAGCAGTACAGTTGAAACCATCAAATCAAACTGATCACTTATAGCAAATTGTACCCCACATAGTCCCCGACAAAACAGCACATATAAGAAACACAATACTAAGCTAGCTGCAATTCATCTTTCTCTGCATATGACCTCCACAATCGGAATAAAGGCATCAGAATAACTAGATAACCAATTAGTGATGTTACTCAATTCACAAGCTTCAATTCATCTTTCTCAGCAAATGACCTCCACAATAGGAATAAAGGCATCGGGATAACTAGAAAACCAATTAGTGGCGTAACTCAATTCATAGAAAAAAAGAGGAGGATTGGGCCTACACTTCACGCTACGCCCGAACCACCTAGGGGGAATCGACGGGAACTCCAGACGTAGCGCTAGGGCTGAGGGGCCTCACCGACGGACGAGGACGCGATGGCGGAGCCGCAGCCAAAGGTCTTGAAGCAGGCGTCGACGATCTTGCCGGACTCCTCGTCGACGCGGATCTGCAGCTTCATGACGTCGCCGCAGGCCGGCGCGCCGACCAGCCCGGTGCCGACGTTGGGGTCCTCCTTGTCGAAGGAACCGACGTTCCGCGGGTTGTTGTAGTGGTCCACCACCCGCTCGTGGTACGCCCTCACCCCCGCCACCGCGGCGGCCGGGCCCGCCTCGCCGGCGGCGCCTGCGCCCAGGCCGAACCGCCGGAGCCCCGGGACGAGGAGCCGCCTGCCTCCTGCGCGCAGCATCTCCCACAAACCTGGAGTCGCCTCTGGAATCTGGGTTCTTCTGATCTTTTCGGCTTCCGGATTGGAGTGAGTTATTTTTCTTTTTCTCTGCGTTGGCTCAGAATTGTGGCCGTGGTTCTATTTGTTCTGCGGCGGTGAGGAGACGGGGATCCTGTGCGGCAGGGCTATCGCAGGGTATGGCCGAGATGTGTACGTGGCGCGGTATTTGTGGACCGAATCGTTGTGCGGTGTGCTGCGGCCTGCAGGAGGTCCGGGGTCGCCGCTGAGGAGATTGGAGACGCGACTAGATGCTCGGAGCAGGGAAAGGGGATAAACGTCGGAACAGCTGGGCTTCCTTTGTCAAATTTGGGCCAGCGTTTTCCGCTTATAAGAGCGTCTCCGACAGCATTTCTAAATTTTACTCCCTAAATTATTATTTCAAGAATTATTTATATAAAAATCGTTTTCTATATCTTTTCACTCTCCAACATTTTTTTTATATCTCGAGCCATTTTCGTTTTCTATTTTTTGCTAACAAAAAATCCGAAATAAAAGATGTATATATTTGAATAACCATTTTATAGCATCTATAAGAGTCTTTCTAAATCTCACTCTCTAGATTATCATTTGGAGAGTCAGTTTCATAAAAATCGCTTTCTATATATTTTCACTCTCCAACAACTTTTCTATATATCGTGCGCATTTTAGAGAACCATTCTCGTCTTCTATTTTTGCTAGCGAAAAATCCGAATAAAAGATGGTTATATTTGCATAATCATTTAGACAAGCTGTTGGAGGATAGTTTTTCTCCAAAATCTCTATTCCTAACATTTAGGAAGGATATAGAGAGTCTTTTAGAGTTGCTCTAAGATAAACTATTGGAGGATAGTTTTTCATCAAAATCTCTATTTCTAGTATTTAGCATTTATGAAGGGAATAGAGAGTCTCTTTAAGATGCTCGGAAACGATGAAGAAAAGCATGAAATTTGCTCCGTTACACGTCTTAATTAGCACGAATATTAAAGCATCTATAATTAATAAAGTTGTTTTTATTATTTTATATATTTAACAAATATTACAAACCTCGATCCTGCCCGGCCAGCGAAGCCAAAGAAAAAGTGAATCAAATACACCTAGCTTTATTTTCATTGATCCGAATGTTCTTACAAATTACATTTTTCCTGTATGTATATAGATTGATAGAAAAATTATTGCCGTCCGTCTCCTCGATGTAGTAATAATAATATGCATAATAATGATCTACACAACTATCCACCGGTCCGGAAATTCAGAACTATTTGAGACTGTAATTTCTCTTATCGACAAGTTGGGAAAAAAGATTCATTCATCGGTAAAATAATTGACCAGTTCATCGGCGAGCTGAAACTCAAGGTTTGCGTGGGAACTTGGAGAAGTCTGGGCGTCGTCTCTCCATGTACGCATTCTTCCCTTCCTTCGCCTCCTCTGTGCCATAGAATATGAGCGTGGCGTTCCCACCAAGCTCCTACAGCAAAAGCGTCATTAGAAATGCAACACACAGACAGAAGTTAACAGCAGCAGTTTCAATGGAAGGTTAACAACATCTAGCAAGTTATACCTGAAGACCTGCATGACCGTCGTCTGCCGCGTTGAGTGCAGATTTCAGCACGCGAATAGCCATGGGGCTGTTCTTAAGATCTGTCGGCACCATTTGACAGTTTCTTGCTCCAATTCAGCAAGCTGCGTGTACAGAAGCGTGTGCGTGTCAGTGGATCAGCATGACTAAAATAGTTTGGTTTTAGTAATTAACACTGCTTTTCAGCACTTACTGGTACTACAGTGTTCACAAGTCCCATTTTATCAGCTTCGTCAGCTGTGTAGAACCGTGACAGAAACCACATTTCACGGGCTCTCTTCGGTCCAACCTGTTTCATGAGAAATAATTAGAGCAAGAATAGCATGCCACTTACCGTGTATCATGAATATGTGTGTTCGGTTGGTCTATAAGCTGTTTGTGCTGATTTGTACGACTGATTTGTTGGGATTGAAAAACACTGTACCATAGCTGATAAGTCGGCTCATAAGCCGGCTAATTAGAGCAGCCGAACACGCCACACCATGGAATGAGTGTGTGACAGGAGTAATGCAACATTTTCTACTATCTCACTAGATTGATATGTGTTCTAGGACACTGTGACAAACATCGACGGCAAGGAATCAATAGATTAGTATGAACTCATCAACCGGGACATTATTGAAGATCCATAACCAGCATCAAAGCTTCCAACCTGTGATAGGAGTTACAAATTGGGATGTTGAAATACACTGCATGTTTATGGTTTCGGCAAAAAGAAGAAACAGGATTACTTAATGAACACAGAAAACGTAATTCCACTATGAACTGATGATGTAAAATTTGATGTTTCACTTTATTGGTATTATCTGCATCCTGGTACCAAGATACCAAATAGACCAGAAAAATCACCTTGGGCCCTGTCTGTCCAAATATGGCATTGTCTGCTGCAATTGTTAAATCACACACCATATGCAAAACATGCCCACCGCCAACAGCGTAACCAGCAACCTGATAGTAATTAGTAAACGACACAAAATCAATCCATAGGACGACCAAAGGAGATAGCAAAAAGGCAAAGGACAGTTATGAACTAATGATCATACCATAGCAATGACAGGCTTTGAAAGACGTCGAATTTGCACCTGAAGAAATTGTCTGATGTTCTCATTATTAATGATAACTACTACTGTCTCACAAACAAAAAGATTAATCATTGTTCACACTTAATAAAGGGGTGTTTGGTTTCTTCTCCTAAACTTTAGTCGTTGTCCCATCGGATATTTGAACATATGTATGGAGTATTAAATATAAACTAATTACGAAACTAATTGCACAGCTTACGACTAATTTGCGAGACGAATCTTTTAAGTCTAATTAGTCCATGATTTGACAATGTGGTGCTACAGTAAACATATGCTAATGACAAATTAATTAGGCTTAATAAATTCATCTTGTGAAGTACCGACGGATTCTGTAATTTGTTTTTTTATTAGTATCCAAACACTCCATGCGACACCCTCATGTGACACCTCCTAAATTTTAGTCACTAAATCCAAACACCCTCTAAAACTAGAAGTGCCAATGTGACGAGGAAAACCTGCTCCTGCAAATTTACTAAGTGGGACGTCAACATATACTCATCAGTAAGCAGGAATGCTAGTCAAACTATACGCAATCATCATATTCTTAGGGCGCGTTTAGATGCAAAAAATTTTGGGTTTTGGCTACTGTAGCACTTTTATTTATATTTAGCAATTAGTGTCTAATTATGGACTAATTAGGTTCAAAAGTTTCGTCTCGCGATTTTTTACTTAATTGTGCAATTAGTTTTTTTTTCGTCTACATTTAGTACTCCATGCATATGCTGCAAGATTCGATGTGATGGATACTGCAAAAATTTTTTGGGAACTAAACAGGCCCTTAAGCTGAAGCTGAACGATGTACTCTTAAGTCAGTTCAAACCTCACTAAACAAATCATCTAAAAGTGGACAGCACGCCTGCATGGAGTGTAAAGAAATGAGAGATAGAAGACGTGCATTTCCTTTCTTGAAAAAAGAATTCCGTATCAAAAGAACAATCACAACGATCCTCATACAGAATAAAAATCTGCATTGCGTGTAACGAAATGAGAGATAGAAGACGTGCATTTCTTTTCTTGAAAAAAGAATTCCGTATCAAAAGAACAATCACAACGATCCTCATACAAAATAAAAGAGATAGAAGACGTGCATTTCCTTTCTTGAAAAAAGAATTCCGTATCAAAAGAACAATCACAACGATCCTCATACAGAATAAAAATCTGCATTGCGTGTAACGAAATGAGAGATAGAAGACGTGCATTTCTTTTCTTGAAAAAAGAATTCCGTATCAAAAGAACAATCACAACGATCCTCATACAAAATAAAAATCTGTGCCCCAGAACTCATCAGGTTTACTCATAGATTAAAGTGTAGAAGAAGTTCGTCTGACCTGGAGATCTAAAACGTTGAGGCGGTCGGCCTGTTCGCTTGGTCGTAAACGATCGTAAATTTTTAGTTAGAACAATATTTTTCTCTCACACCAAACCAGCCAGCAATAATAATCCACGATCATATACGATCGTATCAGCACCAGCCGAACAGGCTCGAAGTCAACATATCCATCAGAATCTCTTAACGCCTGGTCACCGCCGCTACAGAACGCCTTGGTTCCCTGGTCAACCAAAACATCGAAATAAGCTTACCCACCACAGCAAACCCGACTCCATAGACACCCAAACATGCTTCTTTTTTTTCGTTTCTCCTCTAAAAGCATCCGTACCTTTCCTATAAAAATGATGGAATCCAGTGAATGCGCGCATAAGCTCCTTCACGGTCAGCGGACGGAACGCGTTCCTTCTATCAGGCCGGTTTATGGTGATCTGAAGCAGCCAAACGCATTGAAAAAAAACGAGATGTAAGAACAATGCACGCGCACGTGTAATCCATCAGCAGCAACGAGCCTTAGTTCTAAATGTTCTTCGAAATGATAGTGTACATCGGGAGGAAAAAACTGAGACAGTATTTGTTCATCGTAAACCAGCCCTCCACCCGCGCCGCGCGGACGCTCGCGGCGCCGTTTGGCCGCTGCCCGCTGGGCGAGACCCCACAGGAGCCGTCCAGCCGGCGTCCGGCGAGCCCGACACCCTACTTACCAGGACTCCCGACTGCTCCAGTTGTCTGCTGTTTGCTCCCAAGTCCGACTGTCCAAGCCGCGCCCTTGGAGCCGCCGCCGCGCCACCGGCCCCTGCCCCGCCCTCTGTTTGCTGCCACCGCACCAGCGTCGCGCGTGGGAGCCTCGTCCGAGCGGCGGGCCAGGGAGGGATGCCGGATCCGCGCCAGGAAGGGGCCTCGTCCGAGCGGCGGGCCGGGGAGAGAAGCCGCACGAGAGGGCTTTGTTGGTTGATCTCCACCAATTGGGCCCTTGGATCTACGCCCTGATCGGGGGCGCACAACCCTAATATGGTTGATGGGCCCCTGTCGCACAGCACTATAAAGAGAGGTGGGGATCAGGGCTCTAACTACGAGGTTGATCGGAGCCGCCGTGATCCACCAACAGTTAAACCTAACCCGATCTAAAGAGAGTGCTGCCAGTGACAGGAAGACCCACTGACTTCGCCATCACCACCGGACTCGCGTCACCGTCGCCTCTGCATCGTCACCACTACGCTGGACTCCACCGCGCCGAGCTCCCTCGACACCGGCGTCCACGCGGCTGCGGCGCAACTGCGCCAGGGTGAAGTAAAGGAACCCTAAGTAAGATGTTTAACCCTCGATCTACGGTTCGGAGGCACTGTGTTTACCAACAATGGTACCAGAGCCAAGGTTGCCAGTATGTAGATCTAGTATGGGGTAAAGCATTGAAAAGAAATCAAAGAAAGAACAAGGGTTCGATCCGTTTCGGATTGAAACCCTAACCCTAACCGGGTAAAAGAAAATAGAAAAGAGACCAGGAGGGTGGCGGGCGTCACTCAACTGCCGGTCACCACCGCCACAGCGCGGGGGGAAAGGTGCCGCACCGCCGTCTTCGCCGGCGCACGGCAAGAAAAGAACTGACCCGGTTCGGATCTGAGAAGAAAGAGGGTTTTCCTAACCCTAACCCTAATTGGATGAAAGAAAGAAGAGAAGGAGGGCTCGACTTCAAGTCTACTCGAAACCAAACCCTAAACCCGTAATCAATTCGGGAAGAAGAAGAACAGAGCGAATCTCTAACTCTAACCCGAAACCCTAACCCTGGATCCCCAATCGGTTGAATCCGAGAAGAACAAACCAGACCCAAATCAGAAGGGGAAAAAAGAAGAAGGGGAAAGGTGAAAGGGCATGGGAGGCGGCTCGCTGGAGCTAGGCCGACGGTTGCCGGTAGCTAACCCTAATCGGGTGAAACACAGAGAAGAGAAAGGGTGTTGGTTTTTGGAAAGGATCTCAAAGCCGAACCCTAACCCGTGAATCAGTCTCGGGGAAGAACAACAGTGAACCCTAACCCTAATCCCCAATCGACAAAGAACAGAGAAGAAAATCCAGAAGCAAGATCCAGGCGAGAGAAGAAGGCCGAGAGGGGTGGGTACTCGTAGATCGCATGTTGGGGTAGAAAAGAAGAACGATTTTAGAAAGAAGATGAACAGTGGGTTTGGATTTGGCCAAACCCTAAGACCCAACCCTAGAGAGAGAAGCAAGGACGGACGGCACGGGAGCCTACCTGGAGCTCACCTACCGTGGTCACCACTGCCGGCGTTGCTCAGATGTCGCGCGGGAAGAACCACTCGGCCAGGAGGTCACGCCACCGCGTGGCCTACGCCTCGGGCCTCGGGTGTCAAGGGCACCGCAGCGTAGCCCTTCGACGGCGGTGCACTCACCCTCGGGTGAACACGCATGCATCGGCGAAGGGGCACGCGGCGGCGCGCCATTTCCTCTGGCTGCCATTGTTGCTGCAGCTGCTCCTTCTCTCTGCGGTGCTGAGGAGGAAAGAGAAAGGAACAGAGAAAATGAGATAGGGTTTCGGCTGAGACGACCACGGCGGCGGTTTTGTTCGCGCGAAAAAGAAGCTGAGCAGTCGATCTTGATCGAGCGGCTGTGAACGGCTGGGTTGCCTTTTGGCCCAGGCGGGCGAGGGCGCGAGGCCACTTTCCTAGCCCAGGCCTAGGTTGCGGCCTAGGCGCGGGGGAGCGCAAGGGAGAGCGCACGTGCGGCCGTGGGCCGTGGGCCGCTTTGCCGGTTGGGCCGAAAACAGTGAAAGAAATGAGTCAGTTTTTTATTTTCCTTTTCCAGTAAAAGTTTTATTTCCTGAAAAATGGATAAATGGCTCAAAGAAAATAGAAATGAGATTTTTCCTATGGGCAAAATTCATTAAATTGAATTAGTTTTCCGCTGTTAAAGAAATTGTTTATTCCCAGTTATTTTGAACCAACGTGATATTTAATTGGAGAAAAAGAGATTTTGACATGATTATGATGTTGTTATTTTCTGACCAACGTTGTTAATAACAATATCATAATTTTAATGATTTTATGCATTAATTCTATTTCTGCTCAACGGTGATGTAGAATTAGTGTATAAGAACAGTTATAAATTTTAATGATTTTATGCATTAATTCTATTTCTGCCCAACGGTGATGTAGAATTAGTGTATAAGAGCAGTTTTATGTTTTAATTTTGATCAATATTGGAATCAAGACATGCAATTATTAGAGATCCCCACTCTTAAAGGTGACAACTACACGGAGTGGAAGAAAAAGATTGACCTGACCTTCGTCTTGGCTGAGGTGGACTGCATAGTCACCTCACCGTATCCCACTGAGCCTGTGGCACCGGTGAGGGAGACAAACGATGCTGATGCTGCTTGGGCAACTAAAGAGAGGGATTTTGAATCCCAAAAGATGTCATATGACCTTGAGCATAGGAAGTGGGTCACTGCCAACAAGAAATGTTTGGCTGTGATAAAGAACACGATTGAGCCTATAATTGTGGGCTCAATCCCAACGTATGACACGGTCACCGAGTACCTCGATAGAATAAAGAGTCAGTTCACTAGCTCTTCAAAGACATGCTACCCAGCTGATAAAGCAGCTGGTGACACAGAGTTACTCTGGAAATGGTGGCATAAGAGACCTCACGATGCGTCGTCAAAATTATGGCACTACCGTTTAGGCCATATTTCGAGGGGAGAATAGAAAGACTAGTTAAGAATAATATTCTTCCTCCATTAGAGCTCTCAGATTTAGAATAATGCAGAGAATGCATAAAAGGAAAGTATATAAAGAAAATTAAGAAAGATACCAAACGAAGCGTAGGAATTTTACAGATTATTCACACAGACATCTGTGGTCCGTTTTCCTGTAAAGAGTGTGGATGGTTATGATTCGTTCATAACATTCACAGATGATTACTCCCATTATGGCTACATTTATCCAATCAAAGAAAGAACAGAAGCATTGGATAAATTTAAGATATTTAAGGCAGAAGTTGAAAACCAACACAATTTAAAGATTAAGATAGTCAGGTCTGACCATGGGAGGGAGTACTACGGTCGGCATACCCCATATGGCCAAGTTCCTAGACCTTTTGTAAGGTTCTTACAGGAGAATGGCATAGTAGCCCAGTATTCTACACCGGGCGAACCTCAGCAGAATGCAGTAGCTGAAAGACGCAATCATACCCTAATGGATATGGTGCGTAGTATGATAAGTTACTCCACCTTACCGTTGAGCCTGTGGATGGAGACATTAAAAACCGCTATTCATATTCTCAATAGAGTACCAAGTAAGTCGGTGCCCAAACCACCGTATGAGTTGTGGACAGGAAGAGTACCCTCACTAAATCACTTACGTGTGTGGGGGAGTCCTGCTGAGGCTAAAGTATTTAACCCAAACATTAGGAAGCTAGATCCCAAAACAGTAAGTTACCATTTCATTTGCTACCCAGAAAAGTCAAAAGGTTTTTGTTTCTACTGTCCAGACAGGCATACAAAGTTTGTGGAAACAAGACACGCTGTCTTCCTAGAGGATGAAATGATGAGGGGGAGCATGGTAGCTCGAGAAATTGACCTTGAAGAGAAGCGGGTGTATGCGCCCACTCCGATGATTCATGAACCATTTTTCTCACTACCTGCTGTCACTGCATCGACAGTGCAAGATACTGTGGTGCCAGCACCTATTGTTATTCTGCCTATGGCAACAATGAATGACAATGAGGAACCTGTTTTTCAGGATCCTGTAGAACCTATTGTCACACATGAGGGGGAGCAACAACAGACTCAAACAGAAGATGTGCCAAATGTGAAGGCCCCTAGAAGGTCTTAAAGAGTTAGAAAATTAGCTATTCCTGTCGACTATGAAGTATACAACACTAAGGAATTTCAAATGGAGGATGATCCCACCTCATTTGAAGAAGCCATGAGAAGTGATCATTCATCAAAGTGGCTTGAGGCCATGGAAGATGAAATAAAATCTATGAATGCCAATAAAGTTTGGGACTTGAAAATAATTCCTAAAAGAGCCAAAATAGTAGGCTGTAAATGGGTCTATAAAACAAAACTTGACTCTCAAGGAAATATAGAGAGATATAAAGCGTGACTTGTGGCAAAAGGCTTTACACAAAGAGAAGGAATTGATTACAATGAGATCTTTTCTCTAGTCTCATGTAAGATTCCTTCAGAATCATAATGGCATGAGTGGCACATTACGATTTAGAATTACATCAGATGAATGTAAAGACGGCATTTCTCAACGGGGACTTAGAGGAAAATGTTTACATGGCACAACCGAAAGGTTTTGTCATGGAAGAAAAAAAGAACGAATGGGATGCCGCCTAAAGAAATCCATTTATGGATTAAAACAAGCTTCAAGACAGTGGTACTTGAAGTTTGATCAGACAATAAGGAATTTTGGGTTTAAAGAGAATGTTGAGGACAATTGTGTCTATGCAAAGTTTAAGAATGGGAAGTTTATCTTCCTTGTCCTGTATGTGGATGATATCTTACTTGCTAGTAGTGATGTCAGTCTACTACTGGAGACAAAGAAGTTTTTGTCCTCAAAATTTGATATGAAAGATCTTGATGAAGCTTCGTTCGTTCTAGGGATCGAGATTCATCGAGATAGAAGTAAAGGGGTATTAGGATTGTCACAAAAGGCATACATAGAAGAGATCTTAAAGAAATTCAGTATGCACAAATATAGTCCCTCACCTGCTCCTATAGTCAAGGGCGACAGATATGGGGATTTTCAATGCCCCAGGAATCAATATGAGATCGATCAAATGAAAACGGTTCCATATGCTTCAACTGTCGGAAGCTTGCAATATGCTCAAGTATGTATGCGCCCTGACTTGGCATTTGTTACCGGGTAACTTGGCAGATTCCAAAGCAATCCTGGAATAGAATACTGAAAATTAGTAAAGAAAGTCTTACGTTATTTGCAAGGAACGAAAAGCCTCATGATGATGTATAGAAGATATGATTCACTCGATATAGTGGGATATTCATATTCTAATTATGCAGGAGATGATAGAAAATTCACGTCTGGATATGTATTCACTCTCGCAGGGGGAGCTATTTCATGGAAAAGCTCAAAGCAAACCATCACTACATCATTCACAATATATGCCGAGTTTGTTGCGTGTTATGAGACAACGGGGCAGGTGAACTGGCTAAAGAAGTTCATACCCGATTTGAAGGTGGTTGACGACATCTATAGACCACTTAAGTTATACTACGATAATAATCCGGCAGTACAGTATGCTCACAACAATAAGTGAAGTGGTGCTACCAAACACATTGACATAAAGTATTATGTTGTGAAAGATAAAGTCTGGGATCATGTCATAAGTCTTGAGCATATAAGTACCGAAAAGATGCTCGCGGATTCGCTTACAAAAGGCTTACCACCCAACATGTTCAGAGAACATGTAGCTAGCATGGGTTTAAGGGAAAGCCTAAAATTCCTAGATAAAAGAAGGCCCAAAGTTAAGTATCTATTTCAGAACAGAGTGGTGTGTTGTAGCTGTTAAATCTATCGGCAATTGACCGTGACGATGAAACATGCTCTATGCGCTAATCTGTAATGGAATAAACAAAAGTAAATGATATGAAATTGAAAGATGGTAGTGAGATCAAGGGGGGAGAATGTTAGTTGATCTCCACCTAGGCCCTTGGATCTACGCCCTGATCGGGGGGGCCCAACCCTAATATGGTTGGTGGGCCCCTATCGCACAGCACTATAAAGAGAGGTGGGGATCAGGGCTCTAACTACGAGGTTGACCAGAGCCGCCATGACCCGCCAACATCTAAACCTAACCCGATCTAAAGAGAGTGCTGCCAGTGACAGGAAGACTCACTGACTTCGCTGTCACCACAAGACTCGCGTCACCGTCGCCTCTGCATCGTCACCACTACGCTAGACTCCACCGAGCCGAGCTCCCTCGACACCAGTGTCCACGCGGCTGCGAGCAACTGTGCCAGAGCGAAGTAAAGGAATCCTAAGTAAGATGTTTAACCCCTGATCTACGGTTCAGAGGCACTGTGTTTACCAATAGGCTCGCCTGCCTACATCGGGAGGGGCTTCGCTAGATCCACGCCGGGGAGGCCTCACCTGTCTGCGTCGGGGAAGAGAAGCCAGGGATGCCACCAGTGTTTGGTCCTATGGCAGGGATGTGACGTCAACGCACCCACATCGGCCGTGATGTGAGCAACACCATGTTCGATGTCTCCTCCCAGGGAGGCTTGCCGTGGGGGGTCATGCGGCATGCTGCAGCTTCGGGTGTTCCACGCTGAAATCCCTCACTGCTGCCGCCGTTGCCACCTGGACTCGTAGTCGCACTAGCTCATCCTCATCCCAGCACCTCGTCAGACCGCTTCGTCTTCGCAGGTCCTCTCGCCTATCACCGCCATGAACTCAGACTCGTGCCAATGATATCTTGTTCCTGACTCTGCGCCATCGAGTTGCTCTGGATCCTTCCGACTATAAACTCATCATCCATCAGATCATCACCTGTCTCCTCTGTCGCCTTGTGAGACGGGGCGATGACTCCTTCAATGCTACCGGCCAGCGTCACCGTGCTGAAATTTGTGATTCAAAAGAGTTGCTCGCATCGCGATGACCTTCAATCGTCGCCACCGCCAAGTGCTTTAGAGTCAGAGCAGAGCATCGCCTTCAAGAGGACGGGCTCGAGGTAGATGCTATCGCTGCCTCGCATGAGATCACCAAGTCAGCTCCTGTAGGGATGCTTTTTGATGCATTCGATGTCGCCGTCTATGACATAGGGAGCGGTACTGCCCATCTTCGCTCCACCTCTTCTTTGGTGCAACCTCGCCATCCTCAACAGTCGAAGAGTTGGACTGACGTCGTGGCCATGCCTTCGCCGAATGAATGTCGCCCTACACTGTCATCAAGCACTGTGACTCAGTCCATCTGACAGTTGGTTCTAGATTGTTTGGAGGAAGTATTACGTCCCCTTAGGGAGGACACTTCTACTATTAAGCTATGACTGGCACATTTGGCCAACCATTTGGAGTTTGCAGAGCCACATGGAGAGAATACTTCTTTTTCCAACATGTCTGAGCTCTTCGGGCCATGTTCTCCTGTTCGTCGCTCGCCAACACCGTCAATCCTCACTTCTCTTGTGTTGGCCTGTACGCCTTCCGACTCCTTGGGGCATGAGGAGACATATGTGAACACAGCAAAACCTATCGCCGATGAGTTAGAATTTCACACAGTGTTGCACCCTGACAGTAATGAGGTGGTTGATGCAGAGATTCACCAAAAGATGCCCATAGAGCAAGCCACCGAGGTGGAGCAAAGATGAGGAAGCTATTGCACAAGTGACAATTGAGGACCCCATCTTTCTCATCACCATTGAAGACAACCCTATACATCCAGTGACCGACGTCACGAAAGAACTCATCATCAACATTGAAGATAACCCTTTGCATTCTACGAGTGAGGTCAACGAAGAAGTACCCACGACGTTACAGGATCCATCAAGTAATGTAGCTTCTTCAATGGCCATAGCTATGGAGAACGAACTAACATGTCCTCCTATACACCTACCTTCACCATCGGCTACACCTGCAAGACGCCGACGCAAGTCCTATGATAGATCTTCGCTTCATCGAAGTGGCCACATTACACAACGTAATGTGTTAAAGGATTTGGGCGTTGCTAGGAAGGATGGGAAGCTCAATGAGAGTGCAATGCAAGACATCGTAGTTTGCCTAAATGAATTGTTGCCACCAGACCTCCTCAAGCCACTGATGAGTTTAAAGGGTCGTGCCTTTTGGGACTTTGTGGCGGAGGCCTCTCTGCATCTTCGTTAGGGGTCGTGAAGGACGGCACAATTGCGACTTTAGTGTTTTGACGACGACTGTTTGTCCGTGTGATGTGTGTCACTTGGCTGACTACTACGGAGGAGTTTATGGAGGTTTAGATCTTTGGTGTGCATTAGTGTTTGTATTAGTTGTTTCGGTTGCTTTAGTTGTGTTGTTGTTGTTTTATTGTGTCGTAGTTTCGTTGTAATACCTAGTCTAGATTTCTTCTTTTTAATATAATCGTCAGCTCTCGTGCCTGATCCATTTAAAAAATGTTCTTGAAAATCTAGTAGTCGCAGCCGCAGCCGCACTTTTGCAAGGAATCCAAAGCTTGACAAGGATCGAGGGAAGAAAGAAACCTCACCTTGGCGATGCCCTCTCCGATGGCCTTCTCGTTGATGATGTCGACGAACTCCTTCCCTGACTCGTCTGTGGCGGCGCGCCACTCCGGTGGCTCCGACGGCACGTCGCCATGCACGTGCCGGTAGCTGTCCCCCGCCGATGAGGATGATGACGAGGACGTGGGAGAAGGCGTGAGGGGAGGCACGGTGGCGTGTGGAACTGGGAACGACGGAACGAGGTGGGCGGCGACGCGTGCCAGCCTCCTCTCCGCAGCGTCCATGGCCAGAGCTAGCGCGGGTGGGCGTGGCACGGCAGCGCGTGGCTTGTGGCTGTTCCGTTTTGGGGCGCTCTCGCTCTCTCAATTCAGTTTGGTCTTTGGATGAGGTTTTGTTTAGGCAGAGAGGCGGCCAGGCGAGACCAGATAAGACTTGCGTATTGATGGACCGGCCTACTGGCGTGCCAGTACCATGGGCCACACAGGTATTGTAACGTGGTCTACGACCGTTCCTGGCCTCATCACTTAGGGCCGGTTTCATTGATGGCCTGACCTTACCGCACCGACAAGTAGGCTGTTTTCAATTATCTTATTGGGCCTTTTGGTTGTTTCGACTGTTTCGTACTGTTTTGAACGTGGGCCATTTTCAATTTCCAAAGTGACTGATGCAGTGTTTTGACTATTTCGGAGAAAATATTTCACGTTTAAATAGGTGTTGTAGTTGACTGTATTGAAATCTTTGAGGGAAAAATGTTGCATCAAGTAGTTTCGAGAATATTGGTGTTGTAAACTAAATTACACATGTCATATAACATTTATATACAAAAATTACATATAAAAATGAGAAAAATATATCAACGATTCTTCCTTTCTGGAGTCAGAAAACAACATATAATATAATAATGACGCTGAAATAACATGAGCATTATTTTTTTTGAAGGAGTATATTCAAGGTTTTAAATCATAGCATTGAGGTAGTTTGCCTGTAAAAAAGAAAAGAAATTATTATTATTGGACCAATTTGGTAGATAGCATTGGTTACACTGGCAAAACAGACATATATGAAAGTTGTAATGAAGTTACATTTCATAATGAGGTATACTTACATTATCAGCATAGAATTTCTTCATAAATTCTGAGTTAGCCTTGTTATGTTGACTTGTTGCTATTCGAAATAGGAATTTTGCACATAGAGGTAAGACATCAGCCTATAATAAAAATATTTAAATTTTTAAGTTGCTTACAAAATAATTTTAGAATTGCAATACATAGAAGGTTTTATATAATCAGAATTTGCATAACAAGTAGATGTAGTTAATATTAAGCTTGCACTCAAGAATATTATGAGAAGATATGTTTTGTGTTTGGGGGCAGAGGCGCTCATTTCGCAACTCTCGCCCCATCGCTCGAAAGTTATGGGGATTGGCGCCAAAGTAATTTAAAAGCGCCAAGGGGCTCATTTGGCAAATCCTAGACCCATCGTCTCGAAAGGTATGGGGGTTGGCGCCTGAAAGCTCTAGTTTGGTTTTGGTGAATTAATGAAACCCTAAAGTGTTAACCTATTACTCTAGTGATTATGAGATAGGTACCACATTCCAAGTGATGGAGCAAATAGAGAAGATTATGGTGATGGTAGAGTCCATGGAAATGATCAAGTGCCCGGGCTTGGAAAAGAAGAAAGAGAAAAACAAAATGGGCTCAAGACAAAGGTATAATTATAGGGCCATTTTATTTTCGGTGATCAAGACACTATAGAGAGTATGATCATATTTAGGATAGATGGTCATACTATTAAGAGGAGAGCTCTTATCGGACAACTCGATCATCTAGTGCCACTAGGTGTTGGAATACATGCAAATGCATTTAGGCCTAGTGCACAATCGGTGAGAAATGATTAACCTTTGAAAAATATTTATGAAAAGGCTAACACACTTGCACGTGATGGTGAAACACTTGGAGTGTTAGCACATTTGCAAAAGGTGGTGAAAAAGATGAAGAAGAGGAGGCGTTGCCGGGCTTGGGGTGCTGCCATGGGGGCACCGCCACCCCTAGTCCGGTGCACCACCACCGTGGCTGTGCACGACAGAGGAGGCCGAGAGGGAGGTGTTCTAGAGGGCACCGCCACCCCTTGTCTGGTGGCACCACCACCCCTAGGGAGGTGCCCACCCCTAGGGAGGTGCCCACCTGGACTCGGCCGAGAATAGCAAGTGAAGGCTGGTCACTGAACACCACGGTGTACACCGCCACGTGCATGACGGTGCACCATCAGGTGCAATCCGGTGCCACCGCCTCTTTTCAACAGAGGCTGGGGGAACTAGCTGAGTGTACCGCCACGGTCACCGCTGAAAGGATCAAGATGCCCAAGAGGGGGGTGAATTGGACAAATTCTAAAATTCTTTGCAATAATTAAACCCTACACTTAGCCCACTTCACCCCTTGTTCCTAGATTGTGTTCCTATTGATCTACCGCACAAAAGTTTTGCACCCTAGGTTCCAATCCTACTCTAGCATGGCAATTCTAAGAATGTAAAGACAAGAAATGAATTACTCAAATGTAAATGCTTAAAGTAAAGAGAGGAGAAGGAACACGGCGATGTTTTGTCGAGGTATCGAGAGTCGTCACTCCCCACTAATCCTTGTTGGAGCACCCGCGCAAGGGTGTAGCTCCACCTTGATCCGCGCAAGGATCAAGTGCTCTCTATGGGCTGATTCTTCGACACTCCGTCACGGTGAATCACCCACAACCGCTCACAACTTGAGTTGGGTCATCCACACGCTCCGCCGGATGATCACCAAACTCCCGATCACCACCAAGGCGTCTAGGTGATGCCGATCACCAAGAGTAACAAGAACAAACTCTCACTTGACCACAACAAGCCTAATGAGAAGGGTGGATGCACACTTGCTACTCTTCTTGCACTAATGAGGCCTTAATCTTGGATTCTCAAATCTCAATCACCTCACTAGGCTCTTGCTCTCCTTTGCACTCTCAAGGGTGTTTCTCAACTAAACAAATGGGCAAGAGAGCTCCCTTGGATGAATAGAGGAAGTATTTATACCCCCTCATTCAAAACAAACCGTTAGGAGGTTGAGTTAGCACTCTGCGTGGTGACCGGACGCTCCAGTCGAGGTGATCGGATGCTCCGGTCAGTTATTCCCGCCATAGAGCCGTTAAGTTGTCACCGGACTCTGACCTGGGTCCGATCACAAAAACTGCTCTCTAGAACCTTACTGATGTTGACCGGATGCTGGCACCCACAGTCCGATCACTTCACTGTTCAGCGTCCGGTCAGTAACCGGATCCTGACCAGCGTCTGGTCAGCACTGACCGGACGCGTCCAATCAGGAAACTCCCTCTTTGGAACCTCTCTGGAGTTGACCGGACTCAGGCACCCAGCGTCCGGTCACTTTTCACTCAGCGTCCGGTCGCAACCAGACGGCTCCAGTTGATCCAATGAACTGACCGGACTCACGCTTCAGCGTCCGGTCACAACCAGACTAACGTCCGGTCAGTCATTTGACCCTCCGTTCACTTCAAACTCAAAATCATATGTGAATGAAGTTTGCTCCAATTGATCTTAGAGCTACTCCTGAGCTACCTAGTGCTAGATTTGACAAGTGTGCACCACACCTAACCCACTAGACTCACCTAGGTCAAGCTACTAGTCCATACCCCCCTTAATAGTATGGCCAATAGAAAAACAAAGTCCTAAACTACTCTAAGTGTCTCTTCATCACCAAACGACACTTAGAACTAGTCAATCCTTAATCTTATCGTCCATCCTTTGAAAACCAAAACAATTTCCATCGTAGGGGCATGACAACCATGATTGCCCAATCAATTGTCATTACCATGACCTAACTTAATTGTCTCTACAAAACATACGTTAGTCATAGTAATCTCGTATTGTCATTAATCACCGAAACCCAACTAGGGGCCTAGATGCTTTTAATCTCCCTCTTTTTGGTGATTGATAACAATACAACCTCAAGTGTGTGTAAGAGATGAGGTTTTCAACATGCTTGGTTCATATAAGCTTTTGATGATAAGAGCAAAGGAGTTAGACATGCTTATATGACCCAAGCCAACATGGTGTACTCAATAGATATGAAATAAGCATGAATACAAGAGATAAAGCTCATTTGAATCGGTGTAAAATGCGGAAGCAAAGCAAATGAGCATAATGAAGTGACATGACATATATATAGATCAAAGTAGAGAGCACACATGTCACATATCACATAAGTATCAATGCATGAAAGTAAACGTGAATGCATAATAATGTATCACACATAAAAAGCCAAAAGTAATAAATCCTAAGTTCCCCCTAGATATAGCGCTCCCCTAGATCTAACATACTCGATCCCTCACCCCTTTGGCGTCAAGCACCAAAACCTAAGGGTCGGTCAGCGGGACAGGAGTAGACGAGTCGGGCGCTGAGGTGTGATGAGCGATCTGAAACTGTGTAGCATCATCCTCTAATCTAGAGCTCTGAGCTGTCTGACCCTCTGTCGCTGGAAGTGAAGCTAAAGCGGTCTGGGTCTACTCTGGGACTGGCATGGCCTGTGACTCTGCAAGTATCACTGTAACAGGTGGCTCTGATGATGCAACAATGATGGGAGCATCTCTGTAGTCCTAGTAACAGGAGCGACTATGGAAGATACAGGGACTCGCAACTCTGGCGGTGTAGGCTACCCTGTAAGCTCGCTAAAAGTAGCATCGAGGCTCCTAAAAACTAGGGTGTCAGTCACAAGCACTGAGGAACCCTAAGCCGGTGTGAAGTGAGGACCCTAAGCTATCACTAGCGAAGCAAACCACTAGGACACCTGCTCTTTAGATGAAGCAAACTGTGTAGCTGGCTGTCCCTGACTCTGAAGCCCACTGGGCTGTAGTGCTAGAGTCACTAAAGTGGTGGCAGACTGGTCGAGCTAAGGTGTAGACGGTGGCGGAGCAACCCCAATAGCAGTCACAACATGCTACATAAATCCAAGTAAATGTTGCTGTATTAGGAGCTGCTGCTGCTGTATGGCCTACTGATGTCTCTAGAACTCGTCCTGTCTGGCCTAAACCTGTGCAAGGGTAGCTGCGGTCTACTGGGCCTAGCGTGCCTGATCCTGCCTCATCCACTCAAGAATGGCTAGAAGAGCGGGGTCTGTCTGTGGTGGCCGTGGAGCTGAGCTAGAGCCACTGGATTTTCTGTCATGTGGTCGACGAGGCATCTAAGGAATAGCCTGATAATCATCATCTGAACTGTCACTAGGGTCGCTCTCGACCACACCCTCCT